TATCCAGGACTTCGAGTCCACCAAGTTTCACCTTTAACGGGCAAGTACTTTCTCAGGTCAGGAAGTACGAGTTTGCGGACCATTTATTGGGAATTATGCTTGCAGGCCTTCAAGACCGATTCTGAAGTGCCACTGTACTCGTCTCGTTTCTCTACCAGAGTGCTTCCATGCGCCAAACGCGGCGGACTGGATGAGAGTAATGCAAGAGGTACTTAAAGGACCTATAAATACTTTTGAGTGGCCAAAACACCTGACGAAGAGAAAAGCCTACCTGACCAATTTCTATCATATTGCCAGACGCATCTCACACTTGGAGGTGCACCTTTTCGGAGTCTGAAGCACTGATCTGGTACCAAAAGTAGTAATAAGGTACTACTAGGAGGTACCTTATGTACAACATACATGCCAAGAACAAAAATTATTGGATATATTTTAGTAAATGGACAACTGGATGGATCTTCCTGGGACCATTGTTTCTTTTGCCATTCTCATCTAATATATATAGACGATCGTGACTGACTGACAGTCAGACATGCTACGACTACACCACAGAACCCANTCGTGACTGACTGACTGACGCTAATTCTAACCATGTTCCAGAAAGGTTAGAAATCTGAAACTTGATTGACATGTACCTTTTGGGGTGCAGAGTTCAGAAAAAATCCGACTTTGGAGATACATGCCCTGGGGGTACACATTTTGGGGGGAGAAGTTTTTTTAAACATATATCGTCATTGCGTCACCGTTTCGGTGGTGTAGTGGTAGCATATCCAACCCGTAATTGTGAGGCCCTGGGTTCAGTTCCCTGCCTTTTTTGGCTTCTCTTGCCTTCCATGTCCCGTGGCTTGAGTAAAACGGAGAGAAATAAAAAGCTGAAAAGTGCCATGGATGTGCCTACAGACACGATGGGTTCAGGAAAAATGCAAAACGTTAGATCCATGCCCTAGTGGCATATTTTTGGGGGCCAACTTTTTCAAGTGTTTTTTTTTGTCCTATTGCATTGAGCTAGTGTGGAAAGATGAAACTTTGTACATCCTTCTGGGATGCTGCGTGCAGAAAAATTCAGACTTTGGAATAAAAATGCCCCGGGGGCATGAATTTCAAAGGGAGATGTTTTCACATTATCATTGTCACATTATTATTGTCGTGGCGAATTGGACAGAAATGGAAAGGTGAGACTTGGCACACGTATAAGTGACGTGATCTTATGGAGTTGAGGGAGTATTCAGCTTTCATGGTGCATCCCCTCCGGGCATAGCATTTGGGTGGGTCGGCTTTCCAAACATCATTTTTCACCAGCGAAAAAGGCAAACGTATAATATTGATACTTTGTGGGCATGTAGTTCACTGAGGTTTGATTTCGGCAAAAATGGTACTTTTCGGTTAAAACGCCCGAGGGCACATATTTTGCAAATTTTCCTGAATTTTCTGATCCAGCAAAACGGAGGGTGCTGGAAAGGTTGAACTTGGCAAAGATATAGAAAGATGAGTAGCTGAGTAAAGAAACAATTCTATTTTCATATTATATATACGAGGTAGATGATCGTGAGTAGCTGACTGACATAAGTAGCGATACACATGCTGAGTTCAAGAAAAATTCCACTTTGGTGAGACACGCCATAGGGGCACACCTTTTCGGGGAACATATTTTCAAATAGTTCTCTTTGCTTCAATCAAACGGAGACCCATGGAAAGCTGTAACATCCTCAAGGAACTACATGCCCACAAAGTATCAATATTATACGTTTGCCTTTTTCGCTGGTGAAAAATCATGTTTGGAAACCCGACCCACCCAAATGCTATGCCCGGAGGGGATGCCCCATGAAAGCTGTAACATGGCAAGAACGTGACTGGGGAAGCACTCAGCTCAAATGTGAAATTTCCAAAAAAAATTTTGGGGCATACTTCTTGAGAACGTAACGTTTTTAAGAATTTTAAACATCCCTGCGAATCGGGCACAAATAGAAAAATAGCAGCTGGCGCACGCATAACGGACGTGATGTTGATTTAGGAAAAAATTCAACTTTTGCCGAGCGTCTCCCCAGAAAACAGCTTTTGGGAGGGGTGGCTTTTCCAAATATATTTTTTACCGCCAGCAAAATGGGGAAACGTTTAAGGCTGAAAGCGTGTGGCATAGAGTTCCCTGAGTCTATATTTCAGAATAATAAAAATTTTTCGTTAAAAAAAGTGGTCTGATTTTTTTTAAGTCCCATTTTCGTGAATTATTTTTCGATCCAACGAAACAGAAACGGAAAATCAAAATTCCCTCAGAATTACCTGTTTGATGGCTGAGTACAGGATAAATCCAACTTTTGAAATATGCCTCATGAGAGAGATTATAGAAGGGAAGTATTTGAAAATGTATTCTCCACCCTTACACGAAGAGATATCAAGTTAGGCAACCATGAAATAATGAATTAAGCACTATCCAGGGTAATGGAGCGCCGAAGACGCGACCACAGCTAGTATCTCATATCTTTGCTTAAAGAATAAGCAAAACAACAGCCTGCATTGAAAGTGGATGCACATACTGGATTCAAGTTGGCAGTTATCTAAATGTTTCCAAGAATCTGCTGCAAGGAGCTGCTCCATCCCACTGCACCCACCTTGAAAGTCAGTTTCTTCAAAAGTTCAAAACGACCCCTGCATCATCTGAAATCAATGTTGCCTGCAAAATGCACGCATTTGAACTTAGGCCATCTGTTTTTTTGGGATCAGAGAAATGCTTCGGCATGGCTATCACGTGGTATTACAGACTTGTTTGACCCAAAAAATATGGACTTCAAAAGGTGCCGCGACAGCAGCGCCAGTTTCCGCCCTTTGGGCGATACACTTGCCTGACGTGTCCTGTCTCTAGGTACTTATAAGGATTATTCAGCAATGCAACGTTGGTGGATGAAGGTGCGTGTAAAGACACTGGAAGTCTTCATCTAAACTAATTCGCTTGTGGCAACCCTGAGGAAATTCAAATGTGAACTCAACCGGCTTGATGCCCTCTTTTATAAGACAATCACGAACACGAAGACTGCCTCATTCCATGCCACGACTTGGTCAGTCCGTGCACCGGTGACTGTGGTCCAGACGCTGGCAGCCGTCCAGCGCCGTCACCGCAGATCGACGCGTCGCATGCCCCAGCCAATATCCCTCATGCAGAGCTATGGTGACATGATGGCAGCCTCCATGGTGACGGAATCTTCCACATGTGACCTGCGTATGTGACCGTCTCACAATCTCCACATTCCCAGACTGTCGTGTGAATATATATTAGTGCGGAGTCATCAAGTCTTTTATTTACAACTAAAACCTAGGAGCTCTTTCTGCCCCATTCGGCAAAACAGCAGGTCACCAGGCACGATGCAAAAGTTCTATGGATAATATAGCGGTTCCTTGTGGAATTTCCCTTGCTGACACTTGCAAAGGAACTTCAGATTCGGCAATCCAGTGTCCTTCGATATATCTAAGCCTAATTGTATGAGGTGCAATGCTTTTTGAAGGAGCTCGCTGCCGTATCTCGCGATTCATGCCGTCAACCATGTTGGTTGGCCCATTCCCCCGCTGCAAAACCAATTTTAGGCTATTTAAATACCGACGGACTAGTCTCAATCCATAGAGTTTGTTTTTATGCTTTGAAAATGTCAAAGTGTATGTATGGTATAATCCATCAATATCGCCACGTCCATTTTAAGGTGCTAATCCAAATCCTGCTCGCTCTGTAAGGGATTCGAGTGCGTAAATGTTGATAATCTTTTCTGCCATACTTACGTTGCTTCTCCCCTTTACTTGACTTCAATCAATCAACGGTTTTAAGTATCGCTATTGCTATTCTGACAGCGATTACCGTTGATGTTGAACTGATCCGAAAGCGAAGAGCTACGATTGCTGTTCGCAAGAACAGGTGAAGAGACATGAGACGCTTAACAATAACATACGCATGTATATTGAACTGTCGGAATCAACAATATATGACACTGGTCGAATCAAAAACCCTTCACGGTTCCCCCCCCCCCCCCGAGTCAATCAACTCCGACTAAGTGAAAGGGCTTCTTCGTAGCTCTTTCACAATGGAAACGCAATGGTAAACATCGGGGATTAAAAAGTCCCTTTTCGGCAAAAATATGTATCACAGCTCTCGTCAAAACTATGAAAAAATCGTTATAACTGGATCCAACTGAGATATATCTTACAGCGTATCAATTGCCAAAGCAAGGCCAACATCTTCAAAGTTATTATTATGATAATGAAAATGGGTTCCTAATGTCTTAGACACACACACACACGTACGCGCACAAACTGAGAGCACACTTTCAAGAATGGCTTTTTCACTTTTTGGAAGGGTAGCATTCCAAAGAGAAACGATGGTCCCTCGAGTTGAGTCTCCCGAGAAATACTTGAGGCGTTTTTCCAATCATTCCGTATCGTCCCAGCTCTGTATACGACTCCAAAGGCTTCTCAGCTCCTCTGAAAGGTGCAGAAGTAAATCATAGGTGAGTCGTTCTCGCAACAGGATTCTTCAACATTCCCATCACGAGGGGTGTGCCAAAGGTATTTACTATTTATTCATATCTCGGAGAATTATTCAGGTATTGATTTTAAATTGGGGGCATATTATCGATCAACTTATGCAGTAGCATGCTTATTGCACATGCCCTTGTGCTATTAAGGTTATAAGTTGAAAACCATAGGAAATTGTTGAATAAATATTTCCTTTTGAATTTCTGGAAGGTATTTCTTGCTCTGAAATGCACGTAAGGCTAAATGTACATTCGGTTAAATGAATATCCGTCCGATAACACTTTCAGCATCTTCAATGACACAATAAAATTGCTAAAGAGGTATATATGTGGAATTGCATCATGCGCTCTCTATAGCGGTCCCTCATTCCCGAATGAAAGACTCCCGATATGAAAGAAGTTGTAACTAAATCAATTCGGATGTTTTGCTTTCCTGATATATTGCGTGGCGTCTGGTTGTAAGCCACCCTGAGTTCATGACACCCTATTTCAGTGACAGAAGATCGTGTACGGAGAAGAGGAAAAAGCTGAACTCCTCATACCTAGGTTGAGGGGTTGCAATCCCGCTAGGTGCCTGTCCAGGGCCCACATGATCGGCACCGTATGCAACTTGTAAAATACGTTCACTTCTCCCCGAAATGAAACTCTCTTCAGAGAGGGAGGGACCCAGCCGTCTTCATGCACTGGGGGAAGCTTTTCCACCGTCAGCCAAACATTTCCTGACTCTGAAATGAACAGAAAAAGAATAGGAAATAAATACTAGAGTGCGATGGAGGGATTCATCGAGGGAAGCTCGAAGCCAAGACTTACCTATTGACTCAAATTGAACTAATGGGTTATTCTGCCGAAAGGTGAATTGGTTGCAGGGGGAAAATGTTCATGTATTTCGGATAGAAATAAATTTTTATCAGATTTAGACAAACTTATTCTCATGGAAGCGTTGAAATTCTTCTTGAAATTGAACGGTGTTTGCATGCATCAACACCCATGGAGCAACTCATGCAGCACATATGAAGTACTGGCATCATCCTTACATGAAACACGCTGCTGGTTTTTTTTTACCATTCAACATTTTTTTAAAGGGAAACAATGTCATTGCAAAAGTGCTGCTCAGGTTTCCTCATGACTAGTTTCCACTCATAGTATGGCCAATATGTGCTCCATCTTTAGATGTCTCTAAAGCATGCAACACCGTGTTTTGCCTAGGAAGTAGCCTATCTGCACTTCTGAGCTCTACCAATAATCATTTGCGGAGAATGGAGCAAATCTTTATCCCCTTGGATTTTAGTAGTTTGCATCTTTGCTAGGCGGAACATGCGTATTGTTCCTGTAGGTAATGGAATAGTTTTTAAGCATAATTTAGTTTGGCAACATTGAAAAACCGGCAATTAAAAATAAGGGAATCCATCACATAAGAAAGAATGAGGAGAGGAAAATCGAGGGATAATTCGTTGTTCTGATGAAAAAAATGGGATTGCGACTTACTCTGGTACGGAACTACAGGTAGAGTTTGAATGGATTGAACGGTGTCACGAGCGAAGAAGAGGACTCCCCCTTTCCATTCCTCATTCGTGGTTCCTTTACCCTCTCGTCGGGGGAAGAAGCTCCCTATGTAAAAATGAAGTCATTCCCATGAATTCCCTTGATCCATATGATCTCCTTTCCCTACATTGTAAAAAATAAAGGTTCTGGAGTGAAACTTTTTTAGAACCATTTTCGTGGATAAGATGAAACTGATTCATGGTGTTACAACGATCTGAGGGCGTTGACCGTTAGCGCTGGGCGTTGAACGTGAACGCTACTCCCTAGGACATTCGCACGATCACTCCAACTTGTAGCTATTACGCAGATTTAGTGGAAAACGGTTCTACTCTGCAAAATTGAATGCTCGGATTGGAACCATTTTTGGTGAAACTTTTGTTGAACCATTTCCGCGGAATCAAGCCTATACGAGCTGAAATTGGTTAATTCCTGGAGTCATTATGATCTGAGGGCTTTGACACGGCAGATAATCAATGCTACGATCTGAGACATTCATATGATCGCTCCCACGAGTATCTATAAGGCGAAGATCGTGAAAAAATGGTACTAGGGATCGCAAAACATAGAATCGTGCCAAGCACCATCCTTAATACTTGAAGATCTACCAAGTTGTTATTAGGCGTCATTATGTCGAATAGTTTTTGAAGTGAGCTTAAAACCATAGCAAACTGTTTCTCGATTTCCGGAGACCGCTCTGAAAGCGTACACGCATCTAAGGGTTATAGTCTGAACCATTATTTTTTACAGTGTACAAGGCACAATTTTTCCCATGCTCCTTTCCTTTTACGATAGTGAAACAGGAAAACCCCCTGAATTCGGCAGATAACCTGCCCTCAATTGAGATGAGCAAGCGGAATCTGCAACAAAAAATTCAAGGTTCGTTGTCACCGTCATCTGCTCGAACGTAATTGGCAGTTCTTATAAGGCAATTTCTTTCGGTTCATGGTCCCATTTGAAGCGTGAGAACCGGAGTCGCACGTTTGAATTTCCCTTGTTGGTACTCCTCGTTATCCTGAGCTCTCGTGGGGACCAATCACTCAACTATCTGCTATGCAAATAAAAACTTACCTGGAAATGTTTGTTGGACAAGGGACACCTTGTATCTTCATTGATCTGCTTACCGATCTTTCACGTAATGGGTTCTTAAAATGGCGCCAAGTGTGTCGAAAAGTAGGCAACCTCCTGCTATGAGGAATGAGTTTTTTGCATGGAATTCACTGGAAAATGACCTTATTGGCAAGGCTTGGAAGGAACGAGGCATAATATTCCGCAGAAAATATTCCAAGCATTTAATGAATTTGTGTATGTTACCATTTTTCATAATTTATTAAAGTGGAAGGCCGTTCGCCCATTTCCGACCCCATTCGCCCTCTAACATATAAATAAACAGGGTGGTCCACAATTGTTTCCCCAAAAGTAAAAATCTTACTTACTTGGGATGCATACTGAGGAAGTATGCATCCCATTTCAATGTTATATGACTCAAATGATAGTCAATTCAATAGATATTTACTGCTGAAAATTCCACCATTGCGTATCAAACTTAAGTACAGTTACAGTCTTACAAATGAAAGCCCCCAAATCGCAAGTGTTCAATATGACATCCACAATGTTCAATGACTTGGTGCAGTCTCTCTTTGGATGCCAGCAGATTTTTTTCGTATTCTCTGGTCCTGCAAAGGCCAAGACATCTCCAATGGCCTGTTTCAGCATTTCTAGGCAGTCATAAGTCCGCCGATGAATCTCTTTAGGTTCAGAAACCTCTAATGAATTCCCTTCATGATCCTCTCATCAGGAACTGAAGCATTTGGACTTAAACCGAAGAAATTTTCCAATTTTCCCCGCACCAAAATTGCATTCTTCAAATTATCATACCAAATGGCAATATTCGTCTTCAGCAGGATACTGAGGTCACCCATGACACAGACAATCGCTCGTTATGCATGGAAAACCCACGAATGAATGACTCAAGCTAGAATTGCGAATTTTAGAAGGGATTGTGATGTTTACAGGCTTTAGTTGCGCGATCCGTGTACTTTCGTTTGTTAGCGTGTAACTTTGTTGTGGTTTCTTATGGAATGCTGACATTTTTCACAATAAAAATATATTGAATTGACTATCGTTCCAATTATAATGTACAGTATATAATTGAAATCAGATGTAAACTTCATGAGTAATAAGCTTTTACTTTTGGGGAGACAATTGTGGACGCCATGTACTTACTGGAGGAGGAAAGATTTTCCGCGATGAGGACGATCGGTCTCCAGAGGTGGTCCGATGCCGATTGAAGAAGGGAGTGGATGCTCCCGGATTCATTCCCCAATATCTTCTGTGCGTGGGAAAAGAAAATGGGTTCAGCGTCGTGTCTCGGCATTACCTCGAGGTGATGCTGAGGCATGGCGCTCCAAAGAACAATATCTTGCAGCATAAAACAATCTGAGACAGTGTTCGAAGTGGTCATGAAAAATTCGTGAAACTTTCTTCAGAATGAATATTGCAGTGGAACCATTTTCCGTGAAATGAGTAAGCTCAGCGAAATTCCGCATTTTGCGCCCAGGACTCATGGACCATATTTATTTGCTCCACTCTTGCATTATTTGCGCTAACTTCCATTCAGAAATGATGCGCATGATATGAAAAGAGGCCCTCAATAAAAAACGAGTACAAGTATTCCTATACAATGTAAAGAAATCTCAGTCTTGTGACTTATAGCTCATACCATGCAGATTTTAAAAGTAGACGAAGGAAGCACCCATGAAGATTGAACAGGGCTTACATAAATAAATATTTATTGGGTAGATGACTTTAAGAAGAAGCCTGCTCTTGAGTCATGTCAATGCAGCACAAAGTGTTATGTGAGTACGTCTTCAAACATTTCTATCTTACGCTAACTCGGGCTGTTATAGAAAACGGAAACTCCATACGTATGTAATGGGAAGATTATTTTTGGAAACTGAGGATCTCCATTTATTTTTCGATCATCGATGCCACATAGCCTTAAGCAACTTACAGCACAAAAATACCTATACTCAAAGGAATTTGAGCACATTAATGGATAAAGTACTTTTAATGCTTTAATGTTTTATTTTTATTTATGTTTTATTATAACTCTCTAGTTTTCTGTAATACTCGAATCGCGTTTCAGAAAGAGAGGAGCTCTGGAACTGAATTTTGGTGTTCTTCACTCCACATCCAGCATTACCCCTAGAGTGAATATTTCCAAACCCGAAGGAGACTCAGGTGGAGAAGAGATCCCGTGAGGTAGACGGACAAGGACTCCAGCACCCCCCCAGCCCGACTGTCCTTCGTCTTGGTCTCCATCGGAAATGGAGGATAGTCGGCATTCTCCCACTCCACTCCCCTCAGCCTTAGGTTCTCTTGGATTTCCGTTTTGTCGTCGGTCACAGGCACTTCCCCCTTCCAATCTGAAACACAGACGAGTGCCTTTTTAAGGGAGAGAAGGGAAGAAAACCGATGGAATACTGTTGATCACGTGACTCCCTGAAATGTTCTGCATTAATTCAGCGTCAGAGTGAAATCTGAGTCGGCAGCCGAATTTATTTTTAGTAATCATTCATCTTCAATCATTATCTGACCCACCAGTCTATGCGAGACTGTGGCTATTTCATATGCCATCACATCATACTCACAACGGAGCATCCATGGATTCAGGATTGCAGATAACCAGTAAGCAATGCACTAGATCCTCTCGTCAATCCTGTCAGATGAGTATGTGTTAATACGTTAAATGAAGACACTGCTTAATACCCCTACATGTGGCTACAGATAAGTAAATTGCATGCTCCGCGCTACTGCAATTCTTTATAATGGCAGTGCAAGGTTGCGATTATGCCACATAATACTGTAAGACAAAGTCAGAAGGGTCGTGACAGTGTTCTTCCATGCATATATCTTACATTGCAACTTCCAGCCGAGCATAGGACACGTCTACTGTCGTTATCATATATAGCAGGAGTATGCAACGGAATGTGCATGATAAGGTGTCCCAGCAGGACGGCCATTAAATTTATGCGGAAAAAGTTTCCTGTAAGGTTGTCAACAGCTTCGCTTTTTTATGTCAGTCACTATCGGTAGATTAGATGGCAGGGGGATGTTATCGTAGACCTCACCTTTTGCCTGCAGTACACATTGATCCTAAATATTAGATTGACGGGTTTATGGCATTCAAGTAATAAGTTATCACAGATTACACTTATGAATTGTATCAATGCATTACGGAATAAACATTTCGTAAAAGCGCCACTGGTGTGACTAAAGGAAAATGGTGTGCTCAAAATAGTCCCCATCAAACTCCAATTATGAACTTTCACTTCGAAGAACATGGCCTTCACATTAACCCAATCGGTAACTTACCACATATATGGATACATACCACTAGCAACGAATCCCCAAGTGGCAAAAGGCGCGCGTGATTTGGGCAGAGGGAAGAGGTCGTTTTCATTCAGGAATCTCCACATATCAGGCGAGAGGGACGAGATGCAACCTTTGTGCTCGTCCAGGATGCCCTCAATCTTAACAGCCTCTTCCCCCATTCTCCTTCCTCCTTCGTTCCAGGTTGGTCCCTGCCATGGAAAAAAGCCAGACCACCAAGTCAGTCTCCAATGAACTTCCGTCTTGGAGAGGAGTATCTAAAGGACAATGAAGGGATGGCAGGATGAGTGCATAGGTATTTGGGAGTGATGGTGGAAGATAAAAAAAAGAAAGAAACGTTCGCATTAATTGTTATAACATGCATCTCATACCAATAAAAACCGCATATCTACGCGATCTGTGAAGTCTTAAACTCGCTGATCGAACCGCTGAATGAATAGCATTAGCAGAACACGCTTCCAAGCAAAACCTCCCTAAAAAATTCATTGGCAATAGAATGGTTATTGTCAGTGTGAAAGATTATGTAATTTTTGCCAAAAAAGTTCACAATTATTAAGGTTTTTCATTTTAATTGTTTCATTATCGCCAAGTTGCACATTATGACAGTCATTGGAGAGTCTTGTGCAGTTGCACTACGCAACTCAGCCTACTAAACGGTACGCTAAACTGCACTCATCACCAAAAACAGTACCATCATGATGGTGCTGAATTTAGCGTATTCTCTTGTATCAATGTGGCCACGAAACATGTAGTTTCAAGTGCGTGGAATGAATACAGGGCAATCACACGTGAAGCTGGCAGAACACAATCCAAGTTAAATGGGGCAGGGGTTTCGTGCTAAACACCGAAACTCACAATGATTTTACCGAAGAAACACCAAACAGAACCTTTGAATATTCTCCTTTCTTAGCTTACAAGGAGGTACGCATGCTATCTACCACAAGTGTCTGCAAACGAAAAATATATTCCTTGTAAGAATAGGGGATGTCAACCAGACTTATTCATCTTCACTGTTGTATGTTCACTATGACAGCTATTGGCGACAACCGGAGAAGACAGTCATTAGCTAATGAAAAGGACACCTCGTGCCACATTCACTATGAAGGAATGAGAAGTGAGACAAAATGAAATGGCAAAGAAAGGAGTTTTGCAAGGAGGTGGGAAAGACAAAGACTCACGAAAAGGAACTTCCATTCGTCATCGAGTTGCAAGAGGGTCTTTGAGTCGTCCTCGAATTCCTTTGGGAAGGGGACATCCCAGGCCCGGACCCGATTCTCTTCCAGCATCGTCTTCCACAGATCTTCATGCTCGGGAATGCTGTCGATGATGATGAGGTGAGTCCTGGAGCGGGAGATGACTTCCAGCAACCAATCGTCACCGACGTTGACAGAGATGACGAACGAGGCCTCGCAACCACGGAAATCCCTCGGGTGCATCGCAGAAATCGAACTGGACTTCTGCAAGGCCGCCAGCAGGGCTTCATCCGATACCAGCACGTACGGCTTGTCGCCCGTCTCCCCCGAAAGGATGAACTGCGAAAGGGAAGACAGGACGGGCACGTTGTTCCCGCACGAGTTCCTTCCTTTGCACGCGTACCCCCGATGGTGTCCCGAGCAATGATTCAGATATTGGACCGGATGCCCGAATACTATGGAGATGGATGTTGCAGATGTGCACAGACTCCTCGATTCCAGATTCAAAGCGGTTGGAGTTTCATTTCGTTGGATGTGCTTCAGGAGTTGCGTGTTGGTCGGTTGAGATCGCAATGCAATCACGGTCAAGTCCTGATTTTGTTGCCATTCCTTTATTATTCTCTCCACTGATGTATCCTGGGCCTCCACCGAATGAGGTTTGAAAGTGATTATGACTTTCACGTTCATCGTTTTCAGCCTTTCAATGGCCACTTTCATATCCTTCTCCAGCTCTCTCGACAACATGAAGTCTTCGACGACAACGACCAGCGGATCAAGAATGTTTTCCTGCTCATTCTCGTTTGTGGAGCCATCTTCATCATTCTGGCGTATCTTAAAGTCAATTTCATCCAGAATACCTTCTAAAGTTTTTGGTTTCGCCCCAATCTCAACATTCCCCTCCGCTTCCCAGCGCTTTCGACACAGCGCCGAGGACAGCTTACTTCCGCAATGGAGCAAAAGCACTCGGCCCCGACGGTCTATGACTCCTCGTATCAATCTGTTCACTTTCCTGGATTTACCGGATGCCGGATATCCAAATATCACGGTAATCATTCTCGCACTGTCAATTTCTTCCTCGTCCTCTTCCTGCCCACTGTGAAAATTGTCTGTGATTGCTAATGGATCGCGACCGAGCCACGAGGGATCTCTCGCTTCTACTCTCCAAGAATTCCTCTTGGCTTTTTTCTCATTGTGTCGCTCCGAGGCAATGGCCAGTCTACGACTGAAATCGCTTTCATCAATTTTTACTTTCTGCAACTTCCATCCTGGAATATCATTCACTAAACGAGAGAATCTTCCTGTGGACAATTCTTCTTCCTCGATTACGATTATCTTGTTATCGCCAGAAACTGCAATTAGCCGAAAGTAGTTTATCCATTGAATTTGTGGAAAATCCAGGACCACCGTAACATTTTCCTGATGACATCCCTGCACTTCCATCTCAGTGAAAACGAGGAACGAGACCTTCGAATCCTTGAACTCGCCAAGAGGTTCGTCCTTTATGGAATCGTAGTAAAGGACTGGAATTGAAGGGCAGAGAAGCGTGAGGATGTCCACAAGAGCCATCCTCATCCTCTCTTCGACCACAACGTAGACGAGTTTTTCGGTGGATGATTTGGACATTTCCTCGTGGATGGCTTGAAGGGCATGAGAAGCCCTTAAAGAGCGGCACGCAATCACGTCCTTGCATTCTCGATGAAAGGCCTGGCAGGAGGGAATGGTGAAGAGACGAGGAAGGCTTTGCGTCTTCGATGCTTCCAAGTCGAGTTTCAGGGAAGGCTGAGACGATAGGAATACTCTCCTGGCGAAGCTCCCGACAGCGAGAAACAACTCAGATACGTATCTTGTGTTTCGCTTGACGCTGTTGAGGACAACTATGCCGCATGATCCGGCAGGTTTAACGTCCTGGAGGTTGAAATCCCTGGAATAAGACTGATCATTTGGCCGAAAGGCAAGAGTAACGGAGAGCACATGCGTCTTTAGTGATCCCACAATCCACTCCCAGTGTTCGGAAAGAGCTTCTGGCGAGAGAACCCCATGAAACCCCAACGTGATGGGAACTTCGTCCATGAGGACGTGCTTGCCTTCTCCTTTCACCTCCAGGAACTTCTTCAACTTGTCGATGTCAGCCTCCAGGTCCTCTCCTTTCTCGTTAACCACATGGATCTTTTTCTTCCCTGATAGAACAAACATACTCGATGTAATTTCATTCTTTGTACACAAACGTCTAATGGAGTCATCCATAAAATCAAAAGCACTTTTTCACCACATGGATAATCATTCTACGTTTCATGTCAGTGCCTTAATTCCGGAAAAACTTATTTGAACCTACATGAAAGTGCATAGGAGAAAGTGTGGTATACAATGTTGATGTGGACTGATATTTGCAGAAACAATCAATATTAGAAGTTGAAGAGGAAACAACTTATTCGTTAATTCCATTTCGCTTGGGTGGGTAATTTCGAGAATTTTGCCTCAGCTTAGTTCAATGATTATTCCAAGAACGATCACCCTTTTCTACATGAAGGCTTATTGTCACGTTTTTTCATCTTCCCTGAAACGTTTTGAAATTCCCAGCGGGCGTTCGCATCTGGAATCCTAATAATAATTCCAAATTCGTTCAATTAAGCATGCACTTGTTTTGTGGACATTTTCATTTTAAAGAGAGATTTCAACATACGCGTTCACATTTCATGATGGGTTCTTCCAGTATGACAAAAAAACCGAGATATATGAAGTTGATATAGTTATGCTTTCCTGCTTGGTAACAACGATATGAGGAAAGAAGGTGATGGATGTCTGCAGGCTTTATACTGGTAAACAAATATTCGAAATGACGTAAAATATCCTGTCTGACGAAACATTTTTCCGTGTGGCATAATAATTGCCAAAGAGAAGAGGATAATGCGGTCCCACCTTCGAAGTCGCGCCGGAATTCTTCAGTCAGGAGTCCTCCAGCGATATTGATCACCAATACTTCGTCTTTCTCCGCCAACTCGATGGCCCTCCTCTTCAAGACGATCGTCTTCCCCGTTCCGCTAGCACCAGACAAGAGAATGACCGGTGAAGAGCGATTCACCAGGTCTCTCTGCTGGGGAGTGAGGAGCAGGAGCAGCGGCTTCATCTGCTTCTCGCTCTTGGCGAACAACTGGTGCCCTAACGCCCCCTCCAGGTGGCGGCTACGCCGCGTCTACATCTTCAGCTTCTACAAGAACTTCCACAGGCGCTCCCTCCTGAGCCCCAGGCACCCAAAGAAGTTGTGCTAGGTCATAGAAAGGTGAAATCGCCTGAAGCTTTTCAGGTCGTCGAGATCTTCTGAGGTGAGAATTCGTTCCATGCAGTCTCTGCACTCGAGCACGTCCCAAAAGTCAGACTTGCAAAGCATCGGAAAAGCTACGAAACCGGCCAACTTCACATTGGGATTCATAAATTCGCCGCACATAGTCCGGAAAATGTTGAGGTCCTTCTCGATTTGCTTTGTTGCTTTCGCAATTGCATCCACGATCGTTTTCGGACTTTTATTAGATGTTGTTCCTTTGATTTGAAAGAATAGTCCTAATATATCCTTTCCCGATAATCCTGTACTGAAGACATCATGATCACCAGGTTCCAAGTCTTCTTCGGTGAGTCCGAATTTATTGATGAATTTGTTCTTCTGTTGTTGGTTGATACCTTTCAGCAACGTGTCCGTGAAAGCGTAGTCGGCGACTGTGAGAGACGGCACATCCTTGAATACCTCTTTAAGGCGATCGAACACCATCGCAACTGCGAGCTGCTCCAAGGGCACGTCCACGTCCTCCTTCCCTCTCCTGGCTTTTTCTATCAACACGTGGAACTGTTTATTACTCAAGAGGTACCCTTCAGGCAAGGAGTGCGCTTTCCTATAGGCCTCGGCATAATGCTGCTTCACGTATTCGCTAGCTGCCTCCTTCAGTGGCTGTACGTTGTCTGCCCCCATCCATATCTTCAAGTAGTTTCGAATATCCAAGTTTCCTTTCCTTTCATAACTTTGCAGATGTCCCAGGTATGAAAACTTGACGCAGTTTGGACATCCAGTTTCTGAACCCTACAAAATAAAAAAATATATGTATAGGTTTCTTTTTCCAAAGCCTAAATTAGTAACGAGCTACATTAAACATGCTGAGACTGAACAGTTTCTCATAAATAAAATGCTTAATGGTTTAGTTTTGTAGATGTTCTTCAAATTCCTGAATTTTAATGCTTCGTTTTATATAATGGTGATTCATCTATTGACGATGGTGATGTAAAGTTCAATTTATTTGAATTTTAAATCCAATTTTTGGCTCAATCAGTGTTGAATCTTGTGTTGTTACCCTACAGGTCCTACTACTGGTGGCACAAGCTCGAAAATGCATATTTATAGGCTTCCAAATGTGCTCCAATACTTCGTAAAGTTTCGTGAGTCCCACCCAGAAAGCACCACCTCCATGGCGTTTCTAAATGGTGGAGCACGATGCCGGCCGTCACAAGCGATGAGCACAGGTTGAAGCCTGTCTAAGCGAAGGAGCATCGCCGATACGCATTCTTCGTCGCCTTAAGAAAATTCACAGAACTCACCCAGCAACGCGATTGACGTGCTGAAATACCCATTGGGACCCTTCAGGTTTTTTTTCTTAAATATTCCCATGATACCTGATTAAATACAATCGTAGGCTCCTGGAAATGAGTTTCTGTATTTGAGCAAAATTCAGAATTTCCAGAATCTAATGACACTATTTTGCTTTGACTTCACTGATTTTGATTGTTTCTTCCATTTCCATGAAAAGGAAGACACGATGGGGCTGAACGGACATGAAATCGTGACAGATAAAAGGTTGATCTCTGGTATTAATGATCTGCTAGAGGCGATATTCAAAACCGGAAGGGCACCCAAGGCTGGCCTTTGTTACAAAAAGCCTGCAGTGCAAAAAGGTTGCCAGCGCCCAGTTCATGCAGGCGCAAGTGTAGCGTTCCTCTACGAAGAGGGCGTATGAGCTACACTTCTTAGCCTCTCCTTCTCGAGGAATTGGAATCGAGGGAGAGAAGGGGGGAAAGGGAAGGGGAAGGCTAAAGAAAACCCTTGCATAGGAAGTCGTTTTGAAAAAGGGGAAGCGAATCATTTCACCCTCCCTATCACATTTTGCGCCCCATGACCCTGTACCGTGTGTAGATCGGGACGAGTGGTTGACCTGAGGCCGGTAAGGAACATTATTGAAAGCTTTAGAATCTAAAGGAAACGGGTTGTCGGGCTCAACACGATATATCAACACGACCTGCGCAATTTCCTCTTTCCAGAAATCTTGAAAAACTAGAAATGATTAGTTTTCTAAAATGTGGATCTAAGGGATCTAAGTCGGGGGGGGGGGAGTGGGGTGATGTGCATCTTATCGGGGTTTAACGCTTGGATATCAGAATTTTCCTGAACCGAGGAAATTCTTTAACCCTTTCAGTAGAAATTTGGGAATAAGCATGCGTCGAAGTCTTCAGGCCTGGCAACATAATTCTCCATGCTCCAGGCCTAGCATGTTTTCTAAGTCTCATACCTGCCTGTTTCTCAAACTTTGTTGGCATCGAAAATAGGGGCGAATAATAATATTTTTTCCATATTACCCTGATAGGAGGCGTCATATCCACTCGAGCGGCACTTTCGAGATTCTCTGACAACCATGAAAGCACGAGCCCCGCCGTCAAATTCATGATACTAGATCCAGACGCCCTGTTAAATAGGATTCCACATGATAGACGAAGTGAAAAACGGTCTAATCCGTAGTTAGAATATGCAAGTGTCTTCCTAAATAATTTTCTTTGGTGAGCATAAAAAAAAAATTGAAGACCTTGCCAGCTGATTCGAGGATTTGAGAACCGCCGGGATACTCACCATCGATCTGGGGATGTAAATCAAGTCCACAAAGTGAGATCAAAACTATCAGGCGAAATTACTGTCGAAGACCAATCACCACGTGCCACACAAATCACTGCAGCAGAACGGGGAGAGAAACACGAGATCTCTCCACTTCTACACCGCACGGTGACAAGTGGGTAGACATAGATAAGAGGAGGGAAGCACATCGAAGATAGCAGGGATGCATGAGCACTCGATCGGGTCGCGTCATATCTTTTTTTTACGGCTTGTCGGTATGCTTTTGTTATGTTCCCGCTGACTCGTATGAACGCGAAGAGAATTTTCTTAATGTATAGGCAATTCCAACCTTGAAGAAACTGATAGGGAGCATCATTTGGTAATTCCAAGGGATCAGTTGAAAACATCATCATTGCTATTAAAATTTGAGAATCATTAGAGTCCTTGAATGGTTGAGGGCAAACCCTTTTCTTTTTCAGTCTGAAGGAGTTGACATCAGGCAACCCTGGAGAACACGTTCACCTTTAGATCAGGAGTTTTTTTTTTGGCAGGATTTTCGTCCGCATCTGACTGGTTGGCCTGACAAGGAAGTGTCTGGACTCCACCTGTTGTCCCGAATAGCATTCCTGCCTGTTCCCGGAAACGACAACGCTGTTTAAATTCCGCCGGATTATTCCTTCCCAGCATATTCATCGCATGCGAAGTGGAGCATGTACATAGCGAGAGATATTCAGTTATTTTGGCCGCATTACATTTGGAGGAGCAATGGAATAAAGAGTGTCCGACTTGGCTCATCATGCAGAATTTCAGGTCGCACAACAAACCCCACAAGGGTATGGCACCCGGTCGTAGACCGGCGCCTATTTAAGAACGATTCCGCGTTTTCTGCCATCAAAAAATATAGGGGCAGGAAATTCTCAATCTTCATTGTTTAATAACATGTACATGCCTGTTGGCCAGCATGTGAACTGCACATGGCAATTCGCAACTTCTCAACCTAGACCTTTGTTTTATATGGAGTACCCCTGAATTTCTAAAATATCCAGTGATCATGGGCCTTGGATATGATGTTGAGAAATGTGGCTAGAAGTTTCTAAGCCATATTTCAATCCACATAGGTTGAAAACTGTCTCTAAAGCGACGAAAGACTGGCGTTCAAAAACTGGACCATTCACTCAAGGGTTTTACTTGCTTGTAGACGGTGGCACCAAAGAATGGGAACCTTTCCACCAATTTGCGGACGGCATTCCTTAGCATTAAGGCAGGTATTTTCACATTTCACGTAATTTTACAGCAAATAATTATTTTCATTTTGCATATGGGTCATTCCACTGCAATAGGGACAAATAAAATTCCACAACGAATGGACAATCCAACAGCAAGAAGGGAAGTATAATGAAAGTACCATGTAGTAGAAATACAGTGCTGACCAAAAAAAGAAGGTAAGCTACCCAAAACTTTTCAATGAAACCCAAATTTTTCAAAGGATTCACTTCAAAATCAAAAGGAACATTGCCCAGCATGGTCTTCAATATGTGTTCAAATTTCACGTGTCTGCAATGAATGATATAAAAAATGAATGGGAAAAGTGGACCATTCTTGTTTCTTGAGTACTCTGTAACATGAGTCACGAAGAAATTACCTAATTAAAAAAAATTCCATGAATAGATTTTAGAACTTATATATGCTATGATATATATCCCGCATCTTTTACCTAAATGACAGCGAAATACTGTTTAAATAAAATTTAAAATAGAACAGGATTAATTTACGGAAGATCTACACTTGGAAATCGTGACCTTTTATTGTAACATGAGTCACGAAAACTTTTTTCCATTGTTTCGCAATCAGAATAACTTACTGCTACATGTTTCGCTGAGTATATTGGGAGTTTCTTCATGACAATATAGTATGCAATGAGAAATCAAGAGACAAATATAGTAATACGGTAATATTCATTTAACCCATTTTTTTTACCATCTAATCAAATATTATAAATGTTGGGATACTTGAAATAGTTGGGATACTTGAAATAGTTGGGATACGTGAAATGGAGAAGGTAACTCAACTCCCCATGGAATTTAATCAAAATGGCTTAGAATAAGTTTTGTTGGTGAGATCAAAAAAGAGAAACTTTACAGGGCATCTCAGTCATAAGGTAAAATTTATGAAGATGCCTATTTCATGCAGTGGAGAGAAAAGGGTTCAAAATTGGCTAAACTTTATGTTAAACTTTTTCCAAGAACTTCACTTACTGCAGCAATGATTGCAGCAACTTCTGGAGAATTCGAA